AGGAAACATCAATAAAAAGAATTACAATCCCTAGTTGACTTTACTTGCATTTGTAATAAGTTTGATTTTGAGCCAAACAGCAGAAGTACATGTAGTTGCATTTTGAAAAAAAAATCCAATGTCAACTTATTTCTCGTTACCACTGCCAAAACTAAGCATCTGAATCAAAACCCAGTAAACAGAATTATATATGCTTCTTAATTAGCATAACCTACTTAATAATTAATATGTACCTATGGCCTATTGAAACTGGACCAACACTTTCTAAATGTGTATTATTTTTTTTAACAAAAGGTCTAATCTGTAGGAGAAATAGCATTTTCACAAAAAAATTGTTTTAATGAACAATGGCAGTACAGTTCATTGAAATCAGAAAGTAATATAATGAGTTATATATATTAGTTTAGTCTACTTGTGTACACAGTTTTACTGAAATAAGACTAAAACTGCAGAAGGAGTAATTTGAAAATTTCACAGAAATTACCTTTTTTTATTAAGTAACCATGGCAATATCCTTCATCAAAATCAAAACCCATTGGAGAATTATGCATCACCTCATAGGCTACTTGTGTACTAAGTATTTTGAGAATGTCACAGAAATTTCTCCTTTAATTACCATGGCAATATTTATACCCCCCGCTTGAAAAGCGGGAGGGTATATAGTAATCGTTAATTCCGTCCGTCTGTCTGTACGTCCGTCCGTCCGTCTGTCCGTCCGTCCGTCTGTTACGCTTTTGGGTACCCATCTCTTATCCGTAACTCCTCTCATACCACTGAATGAAATTTGATGAAACTTTCACAGAATCCTTATTACATACTGCCATTGTGCACCTCCTATTTTACTTTTTGATCCGACGCATATTTTGGGTTTCCCGGCCACAGGAAAACATGCACTTTTTCACCAGTTATAACCATATGGGAGGCGGGGGATATCATATAGTGAGCTCATCGCTCACAGTACCTCTAGTATTCACTGAAATTTTTTTAAAAAAGTATAAAGAAATATATTTTAGTGTTGTCAACTTTAGCATCAAGTCAAGATTACATATCAGACCAAAACTATAGGAGGATTGATCTTCAAAGAATTTCACGAAAAACCCTATTTTTCAGCTACCATATGGCATAACTGTTCTTTGAAATCATAAACACATAATAACCTTGCACAAGACCACTCAAGATGCACAAATTTTGTCACAGGCTACCAGATTTGCATGTATGAGTGTATCAATGCCCAGCTTGACATGTTAAAATTTTCCAGAAATTAAAATTTAGCTATTTGATTAATCTCTCTCAAATCAACCAATAGTATTGGCAGCAAAGTGTAACAAGCAAACAAACAGAATTGGTCAGCCTATAGGTTCAGGATCAAAGATATGGTGACCTAGTTTCATTCACATTATTGCTAAAACTAATTCATTAAAGACACATATTTTCTCAGGCTTGGCCTACTTGATTTTTAGCATGTCTGACACTTTTCATTAGCAGTCAGTCCTGCATTTTTCTATAGCTTTATATTTTATGATGAGTTTCAAACACTGCAGATATAAAGTCTTAAAAATACATGTATAATGTATACTAGTTAAGTCTACTTATATACCAATTAAGTTTTATTGAATTTGAGCCAAATCATTACCACTGGTATATGCTAATTTTTGCTTTTGAATTTAATATAATCATAAAAAATATGTAGCCTTTTAAAAAACATGTTTTGATCATAGGAACAATCATGGATGAGTGAAATCTGTTGGATGAATGAAAATATCATTTAAGTTTTAATAGTTTTTAACACGTACGTACATCATAGAAGTAGTCTATTGATTTATGTTCCTATCTTTACCAACTTAAAAAATTATTTTTAGACTATGAATGCTTTAAAAGGAAAATTATGTCAGAAAAGGACCTTTGATCAGTCTTCTATACACTTCTAATAATCAAATTGATAAAAGTAAACCCAGCTAGGGTAGACCATTGACAAAGAGGATAATTTATGTCTCTGAGAAGACAAACATATTGCATGATCTGCTTGCAAATTTTTAAGTACATATGTACTCCCTAGTAATTATATCCTCTTACTCCTTATTAATTTATCATCAGCTCCTAGCTAGTGTATGTGTAGCAGGCAATAAACTATATCTTGTTTTGATCATTGGTTTTTAAACCTAAACATAGCTGCAAATCTGTAGCGTTATGGTTTTATATATTTGTCTTTTACCATAACGCTAGAGATCCCGTAATGCAAAAAAAGTGCAATTTAAAGCGCAATGTTTTTTGCGCACTTTTGGGGAGAATTTCTCCACTTTCCAGCATCGGTCAATCAACTAACTTTCACTCCCTAATTCTAGGCACATTATTTAACTATTCTGTATATTTTATCCATCTCCCAACCCTTTATATTCATCTCTACAAGTGATAAACTCGCTTGATTAAAATTATTTGTTAGATTGCTGAAAATTCACTTCGAGTGAGTTTATTGCCTGTAGAGACAACTATAAATGGTTGGGAGGTGGATAAAATATATATACATATATTGGCTACAGAATGTGACTAGAATTAGGGATTGAAAGGTTACGAGTTGACTGACCAATGCTAGAAAGTGGAGAAATTCTCCTCAAAAGTGCGCAAAAAATACTGCGCCGCAAATTGCACCTTTTTTGCATTACGGGATCTGTAGTCTTATGGTAAAAGACAAATATATAAAACCATAATGCTACAAATCTGCAGCTAACCTAAACACTGATGTATAATATGTATACTCAATTCTCATTATATCGCGGGTTCCATTGTATCGCGGTATATTCCAAAAAATTAGATACATAGCCCATGTGATTTTTCTGGATAAAGCTATCTGTCTGTCACCTGAATGTAAATTTTTGTGATGATTAAAATGAATGGAACATGCGTTGGAAAAGTTTGTATTTATATAAAACGTAATTTTTACCGATTTTCATTCGTTTTTATTTTATTTAGACCACAGAATTTATAATCTAGTAAAAATCCGTGATAAAGTTCATATTTTGAAAGTCTTTAGTTTGTATAATTGTTATATTTTTATGCAGAATTACATTGTAAATTTAAAAATTAAGATTGAAGTCCATGTCAACCACAAGTTTCCATGTTTTCCTATACCGCGATACTATGAGACTCTCCAATTTAGGAGGCAAATAAGACTTCATGTTTTAAAAATAGACTACAAATTAAACGATGCATGCTTGGGAAATAATTTGACACTGAAAAGTTAGGCCAAAGTCTGGTTTATGAATATCATTTGATGAGAGTTCAGGTAAAAAATTGGAATTACACTTTTTAAGCAAAAGCTTTTAAGTACCGCGATATAATGAGACACCAGTATATATATTAAATATTGTACCCCAATATTCATATGTTAAATTGTAAAAGAAATTAAAACTGGAATGTCTGACAGCTCGTATAAAATATATTTCATATTGCATACCGTGATCATTCATTGCACAAACAAGGACTTTTAAATCTAAAATGACTAGAAACACATCTCTAAGACAATATGGATCAGATGCACTATATATATTATTTTCATTAATATTTTTCATAACACTGCATATTATTTACTGATATTTAATTAATGAATAATTCAACCAGGTAGGATACTTTTGCTTACCAACCTCCTGATCAGCAGTATCATGACACTGTTAAAGAATACATTTCATCTTCTTTGTTCATTTATGAAAAATCAGCTGTTCATTGTTGACAAAAGCAAAGACATGCAGTTAAAAATAGCAATCAATCAACCGTGCAGTTTCTCTAGATCTACTCCAATAATATATAATGCCTAGAATTGAATGAAAAAAAGAACCTTACCCCATGTCACCTCAAAGATCGTCACATTAAACAGTGTGTGTAACAAGAACTGTCCTTTCGAAAAATCTGGCTCTGTGAAAGTTGTTTCTGAACGGAACGTTGGAGATTCAGCCTCTTTGCGCAGACAGTAACCTTTTGACCTCTTGTTGAAATTATTAGAGTTATTCCCCTTTGTGCATGCTAATTATCGTTTCAAATCTTTTTAGAGTATGCTTATCTCAGATATCTATAATATATAAACAATAAAATTTCATTATAGAAAAAGAGATAAAACATTTAATTTATGTCAATAAATCTTAATTATATTGGTATCTTTATTTTTCTTAATTTCCTTTCTTATTTTTTTTTAAATAAATTCTTGCATTTTTTTGTTGGTGTTGTTTTGTTAAATTTTAACTAAAAGGGCCTTTTTGAATTTGAGCAATACCTCTCTCTCTCTCTCTCTCTCTCTCTTCTCTACAGATCTCGATCTCTCTCTCTCTCTCTCTCTGAACGTCTTTTATTTTGGTCGGAGAACGGGTGGCGTGGCAGGGATCAAACATTTTTTTTTTCCGGCGGAGGGCGGGGGAGAGGGTTCCACCCCAGTGGGAAAAAATCGAACTTTTTGACAGGCAAAAAAAAAAAATCCTTTCCCAGACGGGCTACTACTGCTACTCCAAAAATGAAGTTTTTGAGTTTGGTAGTTAGTCTGGCCTTTTAAAGCTTATAAAATGTATTTAGTAAAAAAAGAAAGTTTCTTCGTCCCTGATCACACTGGAAATAAAATACTCAGTAACTTGAGGTGCTTGTTTCAAAAGCACTCACGACTAAGACCAAAACTTAAATTGTTTTTTTTTTTAAATCTTGCAAATAAATGGTTTTCAAATTGCTTACATATAATGATTAAAAAAAAATAATACCATAACTTCAAATTATTTTAAATAAGAAAGTTATTTGGAGAACTAAAATTTAATTGTAGGATAAGTTCTGTTGTAAATCGACCCCTTTTCTTCAATTATATGAAAATAAGTAATTTGAATCTTTTAAAAAATGCCTAATCCAGAATCAAATGGTCGTCCCCTCTCCTCCAAAACTGCTTGTATTTTTTAACTTTAAGGACATTTTTTTTTGCTAAGCTATATCACAGTTAATTTCAGTAGCACTAGTACTATGTACAATATTGACATGTTATTTATCAGCTCCGGACAATACAATAGCCATCGGATTATTGACCGTAACACGGTTACGCTAAGTTACGTCACCTAGGGATATACGATTTAACGTGTTTGGACGCAGATCGATTTGATCAACAGACGAAGCATATGTTCGTGCAACCCTACACAGATGACCAACTGAGGAACATTAAAACTCTCCCAAGAGCTAGGTATTTATATCCTTTTTCTTTTGTTCAGTTCACATGTTTAATAATTCACTTTCATTAATTATTCCAGGCTTCCATCAAATGAGAATGCCGTTATCTGAACATGCTCAATGGTTGAAATTTTTCGTAGCTATGTTGAAAAAAAAACACAATGCCTGTAGAACTTATGTATTTCTTACTCTTGTGGCTTGACCAAATTTAAAACGATGTGTTCATTTATTCATCGTATCGTCATATACTTTTAAGATATATATTTTTAGAAGAGAAAAGGGTATAGTTTATTGCTTATTCACTTAGTACCGGTACTATAAACGCCTCTGAAATCTGCAATATCGAATTATCTTTTATTTATCTAATTTCCATCATATGTTTCGTTTGTACCATTCAGTCAATGTTTTCCTCTGTAGAGTTTTTTGAGACAGAACTTATGCCCCCCTTCTTTCTTGATCTATAGGTTCACAATGCGATTCAATACAAACATTTATAGCAAACGAATAACAATTTTTCAAGCACAAAATCTATACTTATATATTGTTAATTGCATATTCTTATTAATCTTGCATAGAACTCAAAATATCAGACTGACGATCTGACACTTGAAAGACAAGTTAAGTGCTGGAGGGTTAACAGTGTTCTTATAAATGATGCTATATAGCGATTATGTAAAATTGAAACAGGTTCTCCGTACGACGTTTAACAAAAATATGTCCCTAAATTCCTACGGGTATATTTCCCTTGGATTTCTCAGCATACAGGTAAAGATAGTTAGGCCATTCCAAGTTTTTTCTATGTTTAGCGTCCGCGTGCGCCTTGGTTTTTGACACCCCATATAAGAAAAAACACACAACATCAGGAGTCCTGAAATGATCAATTTAGTCGAAATTTTTGAATTTTGTCAATTTCTCCAAATAAATCTGTATAGTAAGTTATATTGGGTGTATTGTTATCATTTAATCCCTTGTTTTTGCTTAAAAATAGATATTTCTTCTATTAAAGCAGTTTAGTTAGATCAAATCATTTGAAGGGCGTCATTTTTAGGACTTTTAAGCCTGTGTTTTATGTTTTGGCTTGTGTGTTTTTTGCGAATAGGTAGGTAGGTTTTTGAAAGATGGGTGGACGCTAAACAGAGAAAAAACTTGGAATGGCCTTACACATTATAGTTGACTTGCAGAAAATTAGCAATGACAGAGTTCTGTTTGTTTCAATGTAAGAGACCCGATAAATATGCTACAAAACTATCATCGGTCAAAATGTACGATCCTCTCTAATTAGGAGAGTTTATATCAATATGCCGACTCCTGACGATGTTGCAATAAATGCATTCCTGAATCAATGCATACAGACTGCACATTACTTACGATCTCTCGCACTTGCCTCAAGTAGCGCATTGTCCGCATGTATATTGTGGACAATATTTCATAAAGGATATCTCAATTTATAAAATAGTATGAAATGCCCAACATTCCACAATTTTGATGGTTGGAGGAATCCATGCTCACCATCTTTTCACATTGCAGAGGTACTTTATACGGAAGCGTATTAGTGTCGCTTGGACATTTCACTTTTTTTAAATTTCTACACTCTAATCTGTAAATTTTACACTTTAATCTGTGAATTTTATACTTTAATCTGTAAATTTTACACATTAATCTGTAAATTTTACACTTTAATCTGTAAATTTTACATATTAATCTGTAAATTTTACACTTTAAAGTGTAAATTTTACACTTTAATCTGTAAATTTTACACTTTAATCTTATTTTACACTGTAAAATTTTACACTTTAATCTGTAAATTTTACACATTAATCTGTAAATTTTACACATTAATCTGTAAAATTAACACTTTAATCTGTAAATTTTACACTTTAATCTGTAAATTTTACACTTTAATCTGTAAAATTTATACTTTAATCTGTAAATTTTACACATTAATCTGTAAATTTTACACTTTAATCTGTAAAATTTACACTTTAATCTGTAAATTCTACACTTTAATCTGTAAATTTTACACATTAATCTGTAAATTTAACACCTTAAAGTGTAAAGTTTACACTTTCATCTGTAAATTTTACACATCTGTAAATCTTACACATTAATCTGTAAAATTAACACTTTAATCTGTAAATTTTACACTTTAATCTGTAAATTTTACACTTTAATCTGTAAATTTTACACATTAATCTGTAAATTTTACACTTTAATCTGTAAAATTTACACTTTAATCTGTAAATTTTACACTTTAATCTGAAAATTTTACACATTAATCTGTAAATTTTACACATTAATCTGTAAATTTTACACTTTAAAGTGTAAATTTTACACTTCAATCTGTAAATTTTACACTTCAATCTGTAAATTTTATACTTCATTCTGTAAATTTTACAGATTAATCTGTAAATTTTACACCTTAATCTGTAAATTTTACACTTTAATCTGTAAATTTTACACTTTAATCTGTAAAATTTACACTTTAATCTGTAAATTATATACATTAATCTGTAAATTTTAAACATTAATCTGTACATTTTACACTTTAATCTGTAAAATTTACACTTTAATCTGTAAATTTTACACTTTAATATGTTAATTTTACACTTTTTAAAATATGTAAATTTTATACTTTAATCTGTAAAATTTACACTTTAATCTGTAAATTTTACACTTTATTTGTTTATTCACATAATCAATTGAGCAACTTCACACATTCCCAGTAACGCATTTTAAAGCCAACAGACCCTTAATCATGCAAGATAATCGCGGAAGCGTAATATCAATCTGAGCTGCAAATAAAAAAATCTTTGAGATATATATTTTTACTCTTCGTTACACTATAGTAAAACTAAAGAAACACATGTATATATCCTGAAACAAAAGCAGATCCCTGATTTCTTATTCTAGGGAAAATTACGAAACCCATGGGGAAATAGTCCATCCTTGTTTATCAAATACTAACAAACAAGTACGATTATATGTAAAATATAAATATACAGTGAAAACTGTCTAATCCGACACCCGAATAATACGACACACTGTGAATTCTGACGTTAAATTTATTTCCCATTTTAGTATTTTCCTTGTTTTTAACACTGTACAATCCGACATCCTGTCTATTCCGACACAAAATTTGCCTCCCAGTGCATGTCGGATTAGAAAGGTTTCACTGTACAAACAATTGTAAACATCTCAGTTTAATACTTTTTCTCAAGTGTCAGAGGTAAAACATCACAAATCGACCGTTGGATCTTGACCTATTGCAGTTCAGGTTGTTCAAAATAAAATCTAAATTTTACAGATTAAAGTGTAAATTTTACACTTTAAAGTGTCAATTTTACACTTTAAAGTGTAAAATTTACAGATTAATCTGTAAAATTTACAGATTAAAGTGTAAAATTTACAGATTAATGTGTAAATTTTACAGATTAAAGTGTAAAATTTACACTTTAAAGTGTAAAAATTACAGATTAAAGTGTAAAATTTACAGATTAATGTGTAAAATTTACAGATTAAAGTGTAAATTTTACAGATTAAAGTGTAAAATTTACAGATTAATGTGTAAAATTTACAGATTAAAGTGTAAAATTTGTAAATTTTACAGATTAAAGTGTAAAATTTACAGATTAAAGTGTAAAATTTACAGATTAAAGTGTAAAATTTACAGATTAAAGTGTAAATTTTACAGATTAAAGTGTAGAAATAAAAAAAAAAGTGAAGTGTCCAAGTGGCACTAATACGCTTCCGTAACTTTATATTCGAGACGATTCTAGCTTTTCTTTTAGTTATGTTACTCATAGGCACCTGTAGTGTACAATCTACTTGCATTTCAAGAGCGACATATGGATGTGTTTGACGGGAAAATTATACATTTTTGAGATGTTATACGCTTAAATTTTTTTTTATTAAAAAAAAGGGGGGGGACTATTGATCCACACTTCAGGTGCCTGGTTTACTTGGATAAAATATTATTCATTGCTGATACACTCTAGATAATCATAAGTGATATTTCGATTTCCCACAAAACAGATACTGTAATCACTTGCATGAGTACAGTGTTTACTTTACCACTCTACATCTATAATACTGTGTACAACCAGTACTAGTATACAAATTATGTTCATAATTGTCTTCAGCTATACGGGGAAATGACCAAAACTCTTTAATATCCCCAAAAATTATCAACTAATTTGTTAGATTAGAAGGTTGCATTTTCATTATGACCTCACCTATGCTTAAATACTAGTATTGGAGTTAAAAAATATTTAAGAAAAATCGGCCTTCTGATAAGAGAGATAACTTCCTTGCAAATAAAAAATTCTAACATAGCCTAATATTAATCATAAATCGTTTTACCAAAGGTCAATAATTGAGACCCTTGAGTAGTCATGCAATTCGATCAAACCTCACATATGATGGAAAATTAACTACTTCTTTTTTGTCGATACTTGTAAAAAAAAATTTATATATATGACAAACATTTAAAGTACTTAAATGCAAAATTAAAGTTAAAAATATATTTCTGAAGAAAAAATTAACAGCCCTCCAATTCATATTCACACCATTCATCATTTGAAAATAATGCAGTAGATGAAAATCAATATTGAAAAGTATTTTTAAAATGTGAAAATTTATAGAGGAGAGGCCAATAGTCCTTCAACACAAATGTAAAACAATTATCGATAAGGTGAACAAATATGCATATACAAGTATGCTTTCAAGAATGTTTAAATTATTTTACAGATGCACAACTAGGGAATGAAAATGGAGGAAGAATCTTCATCTGTTTCCAGTTGTTTGCTGGAGGGACTTCGTAAAATGTACAAATCTCAGCGGTTCACTGACGTCATCATCAACGTCGAGAACCAGTCTTTTCGGTGTCATCGGGTCATACTGTCGTCTGTTTCTCCGTACTTCGACGCCATGTTTTCTTCTGGCATGAAAGAATCCAACTCCATGGAAATAAGTCTTCATAAAACCAGCTCGAAATTATTTCATGACATTCTTCAGTATGTGTATTTGGGGAAAGACATCGTAAAGTCTGATACGGTTGGGGATCTTCTGCAGATTTCCTCGATGCTTCAAATCACGTGTTTGCAGATCAAATGTGAAGATTACATTACGAGAAACATAGACGTTCACAACTGCATAGGAGTCTGGAAACTAGGGAAATCACATAATATTGAAAAACTAGTAGACAATAGCCATCCATTTATTTTGAACAACTTCGAAGACGTTTGGGAAAGCAACGACTTTTTGAAACTTGAAAAGGACGAATTGGAAAACCTTATTCGTGACGAAAGGCTAAATGTCTCTGGCGAAGAGGTCGTCTGCAAGGCCCTTTTTAACTGGATAGCAGCAGACGAGGCTCGAAGGAAAATAGCATTTCCGGAGCTCTTTGAACATATTCGACTCACCTCAATCAATCTTGAATTCTTACTGGATCAAGTTGATCAGCATCATATGGTTCTTGAACACAGTGCTTGTCGAACAGCGGTGAAAAATGCCATCAAATATCATGCATTGCCGTCAAGGCGCCAAGAGCTGACTTGGGACGAGAAACCTTATCGGATCAACACAGAACAGGAACAGATTCTGGCAATTGTGGGGAAACGCCTTTCAGGCAATGACACGATTGTCACAGAATTTGTTGGATACAGTTTTGCAAACAAAAAATGGGTTGCACTTCAACCTATCGTTGCCGACATTGGAGAAGACTTTGCAGTTTGCTCTTATGGTCATGACATCTTCATTACCGGCGGAACAACGAATATGACGAGTTGTATAAGATATTCTGCAAAATTGTCGCAGTGGCGGGAAAGATCTTCTATGCAATATGGTCGATACAGACATTCAATGGTGGCAATGTCGGACTCGTTGTTTGTCTTTGGTGGTTACAACTTTGGAACCTTAAACAGCGTCGAACAATATGACATGGGAACTGAAGCATGGAAACAAGTTGGGGAACTACATTTTGGAGTAGACAGTAGCTCTGCAGCGGTGATAGGCGAAAATGTCTACATCTTTGGGGGTAGTCTTGGCTTTACCGAGGAAACCGCGGGAATACAGTGCTTTAACACCAAGACTTACACGTGCTCATTGATTGCTAACCTTCCAACACCACCTAAATTCAGCAGTGCTATAAAATTTGCCGACGTTGTATATGTCGTCTGCGATAATGGAGAGGTGATATCTTTCAGTGCTAATGAAGGGCATCGAGTAACTCATAGGATCAAGAAGTTCTCGAGGAAGAACTTCGGGCTCTTCATCGATAAAGGAACACCATGTATCATTGGAGGGAACCAGAACGTGTTTTCTGACGAAGATAAACTTTGTTCTGACGTGATCAAGATCGCGGAAGAGCCCAGCACACATGATAGCCTTGAACTCCCATTTCCAATGGAGGTTATCAACTGTGTGCGAACTGTTGTTGCGAGGAAGTATCCTCTTTTGGAATGTCGGTCCTTAATCCGAGAATTTGTAGACGTGGACTGATCTTTGCGAAAGATTGTCCACACAAATCACTGAAAACAGACTGCGTCCCTTATAGCTCAGAAGAATGCATAAAATTGTCCCATTGTCTATATTTCCTCCAACAACAATTGACATTTATTTTCAATGGTGTATACTAGTTAATAATCATAACTATTTATTTATTTTAAAAAGTATTTATTTATTTGTGTGCAGCACCGTTGTGATCTAAGTTCTGTTTTGTAAATCGCTCATACTTTTGATTTAATCCACGGACACCTCACTTATGGATGGTCTAACCCCCTCCCCCTCTTATTTAATAAAATTCTCAAAGAAGAGGTTTGGTCGTACCATCTATAGGTAAGGTGTCTTTAATTCAATAATTGTATGTAAAGAATTAAATATATATATTTATTGTTCATGAATATATTGATAAATCATTTATGAATTATATTGTTAATTTGTTTTGATTTTTTTTCAAAATATTCCTCTGCGGGTACCCAGAAAATTATTATAAATTACCTAAATATCTTTTTCATAAAAAAGAGTTTATAATAGATGTGTGAAAAATAAAAAGAAAATTTATCATTAATTTCTTTAACTCCACAGTTAAAAATAAGATAGTTTAATGCAAGCTGATCTCAATCTGATACTGTAAATAAAATCAATGTTATCTGAAACGTTATCATTTCTTTAAAATGCATAAAACGTAATTATTTTCTTCTCTGAATTAGACTTTGAAATACTAGTATTTACATTCATAAAAATTCAGAAAAAAGAGCCGAGAATGCGTGCTCATTTTTTTGCAATAGTACAAAATCTGCGATAGAAGAGACAAGAAAAATCGGTTAAAACAGCCTTTTCTCCGGCTATTGATGAACACAAATAATAAGCTTAGTACACGAAATAATTACAAATAAAATGATTGTTTACTGCTCATAAAATTATATTAATCAAAATGTTAAAGAAATGTTACTAGTAATTCTTGAAATTTCACAGTCCCCCAGGATATCTCGATTTTTCGACTTTTGTTGCTGGTGAGATGAGAGATTTTGAGCGTCCACTGGCATTTATCGCCATTTTGGAGTTTTGCATCCAAAGGACGAGATTTTGAGCGTTCACAGGCATTCACTTTAAACATTTTATTGAATAATTCAATAAGGACTGGGCAACAGGCAAGGCCTATGTTCACAGGCATTTATCTCCGTTTTGAAGTTTTGCATATAATAGGATGAGATTTTGAGCGTCCACTGGCATTTACCCTGTTTTGAAGTTTTGCATCTGATAGAAGGAGATTTTGAGCGTCCACTGGCATTTATCGTCATTTTGGAGTTTTGCATTTAAAGGACGAGATTTTGAGCGTCCACTTGCATTTATCGCCGTTTTGAAGTTTTGCAAAAGCAGCGTCTAATAGGAAGAGTTTTTGAGTGTCCACTGGCATTTATCGCCGTTTTAGAGTTTTGCATCTAATGAGATGAGATTTTGAGCCTCCACTGGTATTTATCGCCATTTTGAAGTTTTGCATCTAAAGGACGAGATTTTGAGCATCCACTTGCATTTATCGCCGTTTTGAAGTTTTGCATCTAATAGAAATAGATCCACTGGCATTTATCGCCGTTTTGAAGTTTTGCACTATTAGGATGTGAGAGATTTCTAGCCATTTTGCAGCTGTGATACGAGATTTAAGCATTCACCAAGAATTCTCGCCGTTTCGGAGTTCTTTTGCTGGTGAATCTCTTCTTCTTGAAGAATGATTTTAAGCGTTTTCCGACTGGTAAGAAGATAAGTAGTAGACCGGAAAAGGAAAAGAAGCTTCCGCCGACAAGGAAGGTGTGGTCGTAGGAACCAGACAGGTCATATAGTAAACCTTGAGAAAAACGGGAAAAAAAATATAACGTATAGAAGCATATAATAAGATTAATGAAACTTTTTAAGTCTAATTATCATTTTTTAAGAGGTCAAATTCTAGGATTTTTTCATAACGTTCTTTGATGAAATATTTTTCTAGTACTGACAATAATTAGTTTTTAAAATTTCTCTCATATAGCAAATAAAGGATATATAAAGGAATTCGTGTGTTTTATTTTGCTATACCTGGAGATAAATTGCACACTCGATTAAAAATCAGGACCTTTTTTTTAATTGAAAAATGGCACTACATCATAACTGTGACATTAGAGCCTTTATGTACTAGGTTTTTTTTCATAAAAAGGACAATGAAAACAAAATGAAAGAGTACCTGCTAGAGGAGGTCCTATGATGTTGGCTAATCCCTGCATCATCATGGTCAGTCCATAGGAATTGGTCAGCTTATCAATCCCGACTATCTCCACCAAAATCACAGTATCCAGAGCATAGCTGGCGCTGACGAAGAACCCAAACAGGCTGGCAATGATACAGAGCGGTACAAAAGACACGAACCACGGAACAACCATCACAGCCAGCCCTGAGAGAACGATAGACACTCCATAGAGTAAAATTAGGTCTATGTTTCTGTCCCCTATATACCCATACACAATCTGACCGAAGGTATTCACGATTCCAAGAACAGAAATAATGAACGCTGGATCTTCTATCCCTCCCTCTATAGCAATGTCATTCAGAAATACATACGGTACATCGTACCAGAAGTACGAGATGAAGTTGGAGATCAGAAAGATAAGAAAGTAGGGGTTTTTCATGATTTTGAAATCAAACATCAACTTGAACATTTTCTTGATGTGTTTGGATAACCTCAGGAGTCTTGGTATAGAAGAGACATTTTCGTCTTCTTCTTCATCGCTTTCATCCAACATCTCTTGATGCATTGCTGGGCAGCTCTTTGGTCGGTTCTTTGGAGTGACAGTGAATCTTTTAAGACTTCTTCTGTAAAACAAGTCTTTTCTGAACAGTGGATAATGCTGTATTACTGTCCGTCGATTTAGGGTCTTCCTACGGACAAGCGATTTTTTCTTACTTCTCTTTCTCATTTCGTCATCTTTGACAACGCCATCTTTCTCATGACAGGCATTTTGATCATCGTTTGCAACTACATTTATTGCTTTGTCGTGGGGAAGTCTTCCTAGATTAGGTGTACGGGTAGTTCCTGTGCCATTAACATTAAGTGCATCCATGCTTTGGAAATATTGCTTCAAGATGTGCTGCGAACTCTTACCATTTCTTCGTACAACACATAGCATGTCAAGTGGAATATTTTTGGATTTATTTGTAAAAGTAGGTAGTTGTACCATTGAATGACAACGCTGTCTTTTCTCAGCTAAACATTTGGTATCATTGTGATAATCTAAGTTCAGCATGTCCGAACTATTAGCGAGGCAATTTCGATTGTGCGGTTTAGTTTCCGGTATTGTTTTCGCCATATTTTCAAATTTTTCTAAATTTCTTTTCCACTCTTCCAGAGGAGTAAATTCCAAAGGTCTCATAAGTGCTCCGCAGACGACCAAATTTAATGTGATGGCACTGAGAATAACAAAGGAGCCTCTCCATCCATACTCTTCAATAAGGAACTCCAAAAGTGGAGCAAATACAAAGGTACCGATACCGGATCCACAAACGGACAATCCAGACGCCAAAGATCGCCTCTTTTCAAAATAGTACGCCACAAGAACTGCAGATGTAATATAACCAATCGATAGTCCGAATCCTGCGACAAAACCAAGTGTTAAACATATAAGGCCAATAGAATTAACAAAGGCACTAGCTAAGACTCCAATGCTTGTGATCAGTCCTCCTAGAATCTGGGCTTTTCTGCATCCTAATTTAGTAACAATGGCACTGGCTATAGGTCCACAAACCATAGGGATGCCATAGAATAGGGATGCAACAATAGAGGTTACACTTTTACTCTGTCCGAAAACATCTGACAGTTCCGTAAAAAGTACACCAAATGATAGCGAAAATCCTTCACTTATAAGCATCACAAAGAAAGCACTAATTACAATCACCCAGCCATAGCCGCCGTCTGGGGCCGGGGGCAGCGAAATAGAAGGGTCAAATGATGAGGGAATGCCATCAGTGATTAGAGATGACGCGCTGGATCCGGGTTCTGCGTCCTTTTTTGATGCCTGATCCTGCTTCTCTTTAAGCATTTTCTTCTCTTAAGGTTCCAGCTGGTAGGATAAAAAGGGTCCTCTGTTGAAAAATACAAAATATGAAGTTAAATCATTGCTGCAACCGAATGAAATGGGAAACATATTTCGAGTTCGATATAGAAAATACATATTTCGAGTTCGATATAGAAAATTCAGGCGTCCAAACTAAACTTTATATTGATTAAGTTGACCAAAAAATGTGGCACAAAGGTTTGTAAAACTTCAGTACTGGGGTTTGGAAATAGTTGTTTAGCAACATATTTTTGATCTTGCAGCATAATCACCTCTAGCGTTTGTCATCCATGTCCATCTTCAAGGCTAATTCACGTCAACCGGCTACAGGGCACTTATTTGTAAATTGCCGACCATACATTTATACTTGTATACTTTGAACATAAAAACAAGTATGTAGTATGAAAAGGCTTAATTTTTGCTATTGCTTCACTACAGACAACAGGAAAATGAAAACATCAGCTTCAACATTTCCTGTTATTTGTATTTGTTGGATGTCTCCGTTGGTAGAAATTAAGGATCTACGTGGATCAACGCCATCCGTCACCACCAAGTTAGCTTGTTTACTAAAAAGTTTGACAAGACCTTCCATTGGATACCAACAGATTTGACTTTTTATGCGCCCGGATCGATAGATCGGGGTGTATATTGTTTTTGTCCTGTCTGTCTGTTTGTTTGTTGTAAACTTTAACCTTCGCCATAACTGTTGAACCGTAAGAGATGAGACTTCATATTTGGTATGCATACTACACCAATTAAGTTCTCTCAAATGATACCAAGGTCAATGACCTTGTGACCTTGACTGTGACCTATATGCTAAAAATAGTTTTTTTGAACTGGTGCCATTACTTTTGAACCATAAGAGAAAGACTTCATATTTGGTTTGCACACTTCACTTATTAGGTTATTTCAAACAAATGACACCAAGGTGAATGACTTTGACTGTGACCTTTATGCTAAAAATAGCCTTTTTGAACTGGTGCCATAACTTTTGAACAGTAAGAGATGAGACTTCATATTTGGTATGCATACTCCACTTATTAGGTTCTTTCAAATGCAAACCAAGGTCAATGACCTTGACCTATATGCTAAAAATAGCTTTTTCGAATTTTGTTGCCCCTGGGCGCATAGTGTTTCACAAACACATCTTGCTGACCCTGAAGTTTGTCCCACTTATAAAAATCTATAACCTTGACCATACCAGTAAATTTTGAACGGTTAGTACTACGGCTTTCATATTTCACAGGTGTATACCTTCCTTTTTGATCTTTTGACCCTGACCTTGAAGTTTAACTTGCATTTGAGAAACTTCAATCCTCGTCTTAAGCTGCCACACGATATCAGTCATTGTGAAAAAATTCTTTTCTCAATTAAACTTATGGAATATGGAAGACTTTCTCACAAATTTAAAATACGACATTTTATTCAAAATACACATCCACAATGAAATACATGTACAAATTTATACATAAAATTCACAAAAGCAGCATAAAAAAATTCTTACAAATTCATGAAAATTGTTCTCATTGATTAAGTTCTATTTACAAGAAGCAAAATAAATAGACTTCTATCACCTGATACAGCCCTTGATGACAGTGGGTCTAACCCCTAAATTTCTTCTTTGTTGAGCAGAACTGTTGAATTTATCTGCTTGTTGAAATACAGGAGTGAATGGTTTAGAGAGACCAGAGAGATTGTACTTGGAAACAAAACTCTGTTGCCTGCTTGTGGAGCCTGAACTCTGGGCTGACGGTTCCCACTGAAAGAAGCCACATCCATTTCTGTCTGCTGTCTTTATCCCCGAACAAGAAAAGAAAAATCGACCGAGGTTGGGTCCCGGGGATTGCACCATTCTCCTCTTTGACCGACGCCCACATTTACAAAGCGGCGGTGTTGCTTTCATTGTTGATGACATACTGGTGTCTGGGGTTTTAAGAACTGAACTGCTTGAGTTTATAGAAGAATTGGTAATATTAAATGTAGATTTTTGACATAATGAAGACTGAAGGCTTGGGCTAGGAACCTTAAATTGTACACCAACTTCTACACTGGAAACTGGAGATTTGACACAATTGTTTCTGTTTTTATCCGTTTTACACTGGTTTAAAGCTTTGATAGAATTCTTGCTTGGTTCATTTGCTTTACTCATATTTCCATTTCTATTAGTTAAGCCACTACCAACTTTCATTTGCACACTAGACGACTCAACAGATCTGCAGCTACCATCCATATAAATCTGCTTTGTAGAGAATCCTTTAGAAACAATATGCCTTGTAGGGATTTCTCTCTGTGTAGCAGCTATCTCCCTTGAAACAGCAGACATGGATTCCCTGCTCCTCTTTGCTAACCTGGGAGATTTTCGGACAGGGGAGGTAACAAGAGTCTGGGTTTTCGTTAAATGTCTGGGTGATCTTCGGAGCGTTAGCTTTAGGAAGCTGTGGGAGTTTTTGTCTGGGGTTGCCATCATGACCTCCTCCTCTTTATCGACATCAGACATTCTCCTCCGTTTTGGTAATGGGCTCTCGGTTGGACTGGATGGTTTCTTGGAGTTCAACATACTCTGAACTTTGAATGGACTCACTGATTTACTCTAATTAAAACAAGAAGAACTTTATTTGAAACACATCTTTATTAACAACAGATTACATAGCATTGAGTTTAAAGGGAGACCTTTGTATTTTTTTTTTATTGTTTTCCAATTTTTTTTTTACAAGATTATCAAAAAAGGGTGACTTAAAAAACCTATTAGGAAAACTTTCTCTTAAAGCTGTTTGTAATTACAGTTCTTTGAATCTTTGCTATGTATTGTTATTTAAGAAGACAACTGAGGTTTTTACCCCTCTAGTCAGAGTCTTTGTAATCTTCATGACACATCCATCACACATCATCCTGTAGGCCAGGGTAGCTGTGTTCCTCGCATCAACAATACCTACACAAGAAAATAAAATTCTTCAATGTTTTGTTCCGAAATAATGTTAGAAATGATTATGCAGGTTGTCAAAAGATAATTATTTCACTGCTTTTTATATTCTTTCTAAACAAATTCAGTCACACTTCCAAGTGCTTTTTTTCAATTTCTTAATCAAGATTAATGTATCAATTGTATTTATTTTTTTTTTTTTCATAATTTACCAGAATGCTCCCTGCCCTCAAACTCAATCCCCAGGTCCTGCAGAGCACCATTTAATCCATTGGGTTTTCTACTGTAGAATTTCTAGAAGTACAAATATGAAATGCTTCATACAATCATCAATATATATTGATAATTCATCCCAAATTCTACTGAGCATTACACAATGCATACAGAAATCAACAGAATTCTTCTATAGATTGCACTGTTTGTAAATAATAAATATATCTTTCAAAATGCAATTTTTTAAAATGATTTAAACATAACAGCATGGAGATTTGGATGGAACAAATTATATGACAGTTCTATGATTTCTAGACTAAAAGTACAAAATTGTCTATCTAATTGGGGGTCTGATAACAGCATTTCAAAGATGACCAGACATTTGAACACATCTTACCCTGTATGTAGCTCTTAAATCAATCCAGTTATTTAGCTGTGATGGTTTTATCAGCTGTTTCCTTTTGCATTCATTTAAAAGACAAGTTCCAAGATCCCAATCTGCAAATATGTAAGATAAATATAATTTTAATAAATAAGAAAATTTGAACTTAAAAAAAATTGTGTTTAGTAGAAACAAAAAAAAAAAATGACTGAGTCCAAGGTTGTCATGCCCCAGGAGAATTGCCTATAAACAATAACTTGGACCATTTGTAGATGGTCTCAATTTCAGGCTCAATGGAGCTATAAACAAAATGTGAAGAATACTTTGATGTAGAGGGAGTAATTTTATATGTAACGATTTGCAATGCGAGGAATCAGTGGAATGTTTTCTTATCAGAGATTAATATTTTTTTACTTTCCGCAATGGATCACTGTTATTTATAATTATATAAGCCGGTTCCATACCAGACCAGGTAACAAAGGTTGTGTATGCAGAGTCCTCCTGGTCAGCTGATGGAGGACCAAATACAAGGCCTTTCTCCTTCTGTAGTCTGTCCAGCCAGTGAGAGAACTTCCTCAAACAAATACGGAGAGGGATGCCATTGTCAACTTGTTCCTGGAGAAATTCACAGAAACTCAGTAATAATGATAAATTGAATGAAAAGTATGCACAACTTTTTATTACATTACAAAATGTAGGTAAATTTAGCCTAAAAGCAAAATCTTTCACTATATTAGGCAGCGTTTTCAATGACAGCACTTTTAAGAAATTGGTGACTGTGTAAATGGTTCTTATCAGTTTATACCTGTATTTCTTTTCATATTGTAAAATAAAATGTCTCTAGTTTTCTATGCCTCAATACATCTTGACAACTGGATGGAATTCGTGTTTAACAAAAACATATATTTATGAAAAAGAACAAGCCCTAGGATTGAAGGTTGTTTTGTCACTCTTGAATACCTGAGTAATTCCAGTCAGCTGTTTACAAAAGTCACTTAACATGGGTTGCTCCTCTGGGAGAACATAATAATGAAACTCACTCTCCACCTCTCCAGTTGCTGTATTCAGTAACACGGCAGGGAACTCAACTGAAAGAAATCAAAGTTCTACATGGTAAACAAGTGTTTTATATTTGACATAAAAATGAGGTGAAATAATTAAGGTCTATTAAAAAATTTAAATATTCTTACTAATTTCTTGTGTCTGAAACTTTCTTTGCTCCCAGCATGTGGACTCATAATCCAGGACTATTAGATATGAAAACTCCTGATCTAAAGCAACCAAAACAATGTTGTCAGTGAATTTCAGCAGTGAATCTTTTGATGTTCATTATTTCAGCTTTAGAGTAAATAAATATGACAAAATTAGTTGTTCTTACTTTTGACAAAAGTAAAAGTTTAAATATCTGACTAGACACTTGAAGTCTTCTTACTTTTTGCTCTGGATCTCTTTTTACTGAGGAAGTTTGTATCAGGATTTCTTCTTTGTCTCAGGAAACCAAGCTCTCTACAAAATATTTTCTCTTTGGTTAAATCTTTGATGTGTACATATATAGACTAGTACTAGTATAATAATCTAATATAAAGCATGCTCATGGTGAAGTGTCAAGAATGAAATATTGGTTCATATATATGTAATTCAGTCGTAATATATATAATAGAGTTAAAGTTCCTTATATGTTTAGTACCAAGGAAATGAATAGTATAGGTTTCGTTCGCCCGATCTACCTGTTCGCAAAAGTGTCTGAGTCCGTTCGCGCAGAGTCCATTCGTCCGAAATATTGTTCGCCCAATATCTTCTTCCCCCAATATTTAAATATCATAACATGTATTATTTATTCCATTTAATTTCTTTAAGAACTTGGGATTTTTTTCAAATGATACGAAGAATGATATTTATGTAGTCTTAATTAATTTTAAATTTGATTCTATTAATGTTTTTTGAAGGCCTTAGTGTTTCAGTTTGCATTATCATGCTTATAGTTAATAAGATGATTAATAATATCTACGTTATTTGGGGAATACATCTGTGTTATTTTTACGAATAGTGCTATGTTTTGAAAACAATTGAAGGACTGGGATGATAATAGGTCCATTGTCGGAACTGAACAGCGAATAAAGAAGATTTTACCTTTGAAGAATCTCTCCCTTTGATCTCAAAAAATGATTTATAAGAAGATGGAAAATGAAACTCTTATTCTATATTAAATAGAGTGAATGGACCCTGTGCGAACAAGTTTTAGGGTGAGCGAACTCTGGGCGAACAAGGATTTGGGTGAACAGTGTCATGGGTGAACAATTTTTAAGGCAAACAAACATACAACCAAAACGTCACTTGTATAGATTTTAAGTATATAAATAATGCTGTATTTACCAGGACTAGGAGAATGTAATTCACAGTTAATTAATGAAAATATGTATCTCAGTAGATTAACAGTTTAAATGATTGCGCTCTGGTTGTTCTCTTTTAACCATATTACCATGATTACATGTACGCATTAGCAATGATCTTGTCAGAGGGTCGATGACCATGGTGGTTAGATTGTAATAATGTTTTAGTGGACTCCTCTTGACCACAGGAGTTGGCAGTTTTATCAATAAACCAATGTAAACGATATGTTTTCATTGGTTTATTGATAAATCTGCCGACTCCTGTGTCTTGACCATGTTGAGTTATTTTAAACTCGTATGATCACCACATGGTTGAATCCAAAGCTTTCCTACCTGGCCAGTTCCTTTGTTGTTTTCATATTTACTTAGTCTTGACCAAGTATCCATTTATAATTCGAGCATTCTAAACATGAACAGCGTTTTCCAGAAACGTTACAAATGCGAGTGTTTGAAGTTTACCGCGCCGCTGGCTGGAATGGTGTAAAAGTAGGCACACATATAAACACCTTTATCTATCTAAAAGTCGCCAGCAGCTATTTACTTTGATCTTAGAGATCAATTTTAATCTTTTTAAAAGTATATAAGCAAATAATTTTTAAAGATAATCCAAAATTATCTTGAAATTGAATAAAATAAAATAAAGAAACCGAAACATATTTGGATTTTAGTTTCTCGAAGATTAATAATCAGCTGAACGTTTGAATCAATGCCGTTTTTCACATTGATTTTGCTAACCATTTTAACATTGACATTCAACATGTGTCTGTGATAAATAAAGTCGAGTGCAGGTTGTAGAGCTCAAAATTCATGCTTTAATTCAAATTAAAGACAAGAACATGGAGACAAAAAGAGAAAAGAGACTAGAGGCAAAGAAAAGAAAAGCAGCTGCTTTCTTACAACTTGTCAAAAAAGAGGTGAGTAAGGAGACTTTATTTCTCTTCCGAGAGGAGAAAAATGCTTTTTATAATTGCCTTTTCTGCTTGTCAAATATTTTCAACAGGTGAAAATCAATATGAAATGATGAATTTGTTAATTATTTTAAACTTAAGTTTTTATAGAGGTACATGTAATTAAACTGACTGGATAAGTAGCCATATTATTAACCTGTTAACTAATATCAACAGTTGTGTATTGCATCTGGGCACTACACTACAGTGAGTTATGATATATTAAAAACAGAAGGTACACGTTGGAATGATATATCATCATTTCAAGGTTTGATCCATAAAACTGTCACATCTATCTTCCCTCCACAACATTTAAGTAAAAAATGTAATGTTTTTGGCCGGGGACATTGGCCTGGGTAGCTCAGTGATGCAGGAGTTCAATTCCTGGTCCAGCCATACATCTTTTCCCTTAATCCTGCTACTTATTTGGTGCCACTGACAACCCCTGGTATTGCAGTTGAAAGTCCTGCGAGGGGATAATTAGAACTTGGCTTTTGTCTTCGAGGGTGAAGACCATTTAAGGAGGAGAGGAATGTAATGGTTTGGGCCATAGGAATCTGCTTGGGTAGCTCAAACAGTTGACCCCTTGAAAATATGTGATTTTACAGTAACTTTCTTTATAAGATATTTATATTACTGGTAGATAGATATAATGGTGTTTTACAGTTTTAAACATACAATAATAGATGTAGTACAAATTTCAGGAAGAATATGTTGTAAATGAAAAGAAAATCAAATTGGAGGATTCCCAGTCAAATAATGAAAGTCCAGCAGCTTCAGGGGGCACTGGAAATACATATTCAGCACCTTCGGGTAGCAGTGGTAATAAAACTCCAGCTCCTTCAGGGAGTGGTGGGAATAAAAATCCCCAGAATTTCCAGCAGATGGCAGAGGATGAACTTCTCAGACTCAGACAAGCATTACGAGAAAGACAGAAATTATCAATGGTATGGATTGTATATTTTGTTTTCACCTATGAAAAGTGTTTTAAGATTAGAATTTATTATCATGAAGAATAAATTTTTTATAAGCAATGGATTATAAAAGTTTGGCTCATATTTAAAAAAATGAAGATTTCATATTGCCTATTTAAAAAAATATGTTTGCCTCATGTTACTAATAAAAATTACAATTTCTGCCTATATACAAAGTTAATCTGGGACTCAGTAAAGCTAAACAACTTATCAAATTTTTTTCACATCACTTGTAGGAAAAGCCGAAAGTGTTCTTGACTCTGGAAGAAATGGCAAGGGAAAATGTTCCAAGCTTTAAAACAGACCTTGAGGAAGAAGACATCCCTCCTTTGTTTATCAGTGATATACAGAGTCTTATTTTATTTGCTGTACAGAAATCTGCATGTAGAATGAAACCCAGGTATGAAATTTTGCTCTAACCTTTTAACATTTAACTAGGACCCAGTACTTACAGTTCAGAATAAAAATATATACTATGTATGTTCATAGATTTCCCTGTAATACTATAGGGATTAATCTAGGGCACATTTACTACCTGAGATATCATTTTACATGTAATTAATAAAAATCTCAAATATTTTTTTCATTCATAAAAACTGAAAATTTTTAATAAAGTAAAATTTTTCAGTATATGAGAAATATGGTTTCACTTTGCTACTTTATACTCTTTAAATGGTCATAAAAATGCTGAAATTCAATTGGCACTAGCATGAGTGGTTCCTAGACATCTGATTTTAATTTTCTAAGGGTGGATTGAAAAGATATCCCTGCTTAATGACATTTTATTACAGTGGCAAAATTGTGATCCGCTTGAAAAGTGGGAGGGTATATAAAGGGATGTTTACTTTTGGGTATTTAACTCCTTTTGAAGGAAATTTAATGAAACTTTCACAGATTCTTAATATTGCCATTGTGCACCTCCTATTTTACCAGTATATTTTTGATTTTCCAGAGCAAAACACACTGCCATTATATTCATATGGGAACATGTATGAAAATACATGAATGAAAAAAAAATTGATATTGTGTTTAAATTTACATCGAATAACACAGAGAGTGATTAACAAGTAAGTCAGTATAATTTATTTAAACACAAGGAATGCATAAAACATGAGCTTATTTTCTCTTGTACAGATGGTGCAAATTACTTCGAGGAGGAAAAGTGGCCAGTATTGTCGTGATGGTGTTGAGTGGTGTCAGTAATACAGAGCTCAAAAAATATCCAGACTCATTTCCCACACTCAAAAATCAATTTCAAATAGTAAGTATATGATAAATATTGAATACCTGGTACATACCAGCCACATAAAAGTAAATTATAGCAAGTTATTTTAGCAAGGTGCAAATTTTCATTTCATTTAAAATTTTAATCACAGGCAGATTCATGGCTAAAATAAAGAAGTATTTTCAATTAAGCAAAACGTCATTACACCTTAAGAAAAAATAAAATGTAATATGTGAAATGTAATTGCAAGTTTTTCATTGCAACTTTCCTGTAAATTCTTATCATGTATTCTTGTGAGTTCTTTTGAGTTTTGTTATATTTTTTAACTTTCAGTTTATAGATATAGTAAACCCTTCTCAGTATGCTAGAACAGTGCCATCAGAACTATTCTGTATTCTGCCTCCAAGACATCAAAGGATTGTGGGTAGGAATATTCACATATAATCAAAACTTAATGAATTTGTTTGTCATTGAGTATTTTGCTCAAACATACATCAACCTTCTTAGTACTTGTACTTTTACTATTAATTCTTATTTTTATTATGATTCTTGAATATGAATTTTAGATATGAGTTTAAAAATAGATACCATATAAAAACCATAATATTCATTAATATTCGTTAAAATCTTTAGTTTTCACCATACAACATCATGAATGTTTTTACAAATGTGCTTTTCTTTTTGTCTTTGTAAAGCATCAAAATCTGTTGCAAAGAAAAAAGTTGATAAAGAAAAAGAAGCAGAATCCTCCAACAAACCTGATCCTCCTGAGGAGGCAGAGCCCCCTCTACATAAAGACGACGCCTTCCCTCGGACTTCTCTCCTACTAAATACAGCCCAGTTAATGCAGGAAAAGTACCCCCTACCTGTTCAGTACTGCAATAGTAAGATTGTCAGCCATTGACCATTATAATGATAATAATGTAGATAATATTAAAACACATTTCAACTACCAGTGTGTAAATTTGTTGACAGAGAAATGGTTAGAAGCTAAAAAATGAATGTGTTGTTATAATGACAAAAACACTTCACTTTAAACATGAAATATTACTGTACCACTAAAAGAAATGCCCTATACTTGAAAGGTTTGATAAAATCTTTTGAAACTGAAAAAAGAGCAAGGATTTTTCTTAGCTATGTATATTTTATTTTATATAGAAACTTTTCTGCAATATGTAATTGACTTTTGACAGTAAATCCAGTCAACTTTAAATTCACCAAAGAAGATTATTCCCCAGTTGATGACCACAGTCCAATGTTTGCCTTGGATTGTGAAATGGTGAGGATATATCAAATGCTTCATTATGTTTTATGTTTCCCCCCTTTCTGTGTGTACTGAGCAGAATTAATTATGGTAGTTTTCTGTGATGGAATATAGGTTATTCTTCATGTTCTTGTAAAGTCATTTCTGTCTATTGGGTTTACCAATAAGAGGAATGATTGTGTAAACATACAACTAAATTTGAAATCTTTATTTACAGTGTTTGACAGTAGCCAGGCAGTTGGAGTTGACTCGAGTATCTATTGTAGATGAGAAGTTAGAAGTTTTGTATGATACACTGGTAAAACCTCACAACAGAATAATCAACTATCTCACTGAGTAAGTCTCAATCATCAACTATCTCACTGAGTAAGTCTCAATCATCAACTATCTCACTGAGTAAGTCTCAATCATCAATTATCTCATGGAGTAAGACTCAATCATCAAACATCTCACTGAGTAAGTCTCAATCATCAATTATCTCACTGAGTAAGTCTAAATCATCAACCATCTCACTGAGTAAGTCTCAATCATCAATTATCTCACTGAGTAAGTCTCAATCATCAACTATCTCACTGAGTAAGTCTCGGTCATCAAACATCTCACTGAGTAAGTCTCAATCATCAATTATCTCACTGAGTAAGACTTAATCATCAAACAACTCACTGAGTTAGTCTCAGTTATCAATTATCTCACTGAGCAAGTCCCAATCATCAAACATCTCACTGAGTAAGTCTCAATGATCAATTATCTCACTGAGTAAGACTCAATTATCAACTTTCTCACTGAGTAAGTCTCAATCATCAATTATCTCACTGAGTAGGTCTCTATCATCTCACTTAGTAAGTCTCAATCATCAATTATCTCACAGAGTAAGACTCAATCATCAATTATCTCACTGAGTAAGTCTCAATCATCAACTATCCTACTGAGTAAGTCTCAAACATCAGTTATCTCACAGAGTAAGACTTTCTCACTGATACGTCTCAGTCATCAATTGTCTCACAGAGTAAGACTCAATCATCAACTATGAGTAAGTCTCAATCATCAATTATATCACAGAGTAAGACTCAATCATCAACTT